CCAGTCAGGACAGGAGGCTCCTCTTTACACAGAGGGTGGTGGGGGTGTGGAACAAGCTGCCCAGCCATGTTGTTGAAGCCGATACCCTGACTTTTCTCCAGACACAGCTGGATGAGATCTTGGGATCCATTATTTAGTAACAACCAGACGAGTCAGTGTGGCCTCATTCACTGGTACCCTGCCTGAAACTGCAGGTTCACCTGTACAGTATATACCAATTGAACTTCCTACTGGATCTCTCGCAAGGGAACCTTTATTAATCTTCTTCGTGAACAAATCGACACAGTATTATCTACACACGAGGTCCAGCAAGAGCGCTGTACAGTTTAACACAACATTACTGGACTGCAATTCTCCCCTTCCAATCGCACAGAGCACAGACAGGGAGAAACAACTCTGTCGAGAAAAAGAGAGCAGGCAGGGAAGAAATAAAAAGCGAAACACCGGTAAGATGCACAAACAGCAAAGGAGTGGAATCTGAATCGGAACACACGAATCAAAACAGACGCAGGTTTTGACTTCTCGTTGTCCTGGTAACGAAAAAAGAAAAAAGGGAGCGCTCCGCGTCTCGCTAGGGATTGTGGGGTGGTAGAGGTCCGTAGCGCGTTACGTCAGCGCCGCGTCCGTCATGTTTCGTTTCCGCACTTTCGAGCAGAGCTAATTCAGAGAAAGCCGGCCAGCGCAATTAAAAAGGAAAAAAAAGAGAGAATCCTATAACACATCGCCGATTCACTTCGGCGGGGGGTCGCATCGGACCAGAACCGGGCTGTCCCGTTCTGAGTATGGCCAAACCCAAGCTGATCGTGTTTGATTTAGGTAAGATCTCCTCCCCTACGCGTCTGTCAAACCCGAGGTGATCGGAGGAGAATTTCGTGCAAAGAAATCTACATGTCTGAACCCCTCTCTCTCAGTGCAGTGTTAATGTACTGGAGTGTCCAGTCAGTCAGTGTGTCTGTCTGAACCCCTCTCTCTCAGTGCAGTGTTAATGTACTGGAGTGTCCAGTCAGTGTGTCTGTATGAACCCCTCTCTCTCAGTGCAGTGTTAATGTACTGG